AAATATGACCATCCTACCAAAAGCCATTTACAGATTCAATGCAATGCCAATCAAAATCCCTATTACTTTTTTCGCAGAATTGGAAAAAACCATCCTAAGATTCATATGGAAGCACAAAAGACCTCGGATAGCCAAAGCAACGCTGAGCACTAAGAGCAATGCCTGGGGGATTACTAGACCAGATTTTAAGCTGTATTACAGAGCTATAGTCTCCTACCAAAAGCCATTTACAGATTCAATGCAATGCCAATCAAAATCCCTATTACTTTTTTCGCAGAATTGGAAAAAACCATCCTAAGATTCATATGGAAGCACAAAAGACCTCGGATAGCCAAAGCAACGCTGAGCACTAAGAGCAATGCCTGGGGGATTACTAGACCAGATTTTAAGCTGTATTACAGAGCTATAGTCTTTAAGTTGATTTCCAACTAACACAGTTCATTCATTTGCACCTTCTACTTTCCCACTAAGTAGACTGTACTGGAAAGAGAATCAGTTAAAATAATGATAAAGGTTTTAGGTGAATGTTTTTGCAAAATGGTTCACTCTATATGGATGTGTTGTGGCATGGAAGGGTTGCCATTTTGGTCCATCAATTTGTTCTTGAAAGAAATCAGGAAAGGGGCTGGAGAGATGGCTCAGCAGTTAAGAACACTGGTTGTTCTTGCAGAAGACCCAGGTTTGAATCCCAGAACCCACATGGCAGCTAACAACTGTCCATAACTCCAGTTCCAGGGATCTGACAGCCTCTTCTGTCCTCCTTGGGCATTGCATGACATGGGTGCACTTACCTACATGCAGGCAATACACTCATATACATAAAATAAAAATAATAAATAAAATATTTTTAAATAAAAAATTAGGAAAAACAAGGCAACAGGATCTCTTTACAATTTGTGATAGCAGTAAAGGATGAGAATTCAACAACTGTTTAGTTCCTGTCAACTTCTGGGGCCTCATGGCTTTAAATCCCATCACTATCCTGATATTCTCAAATCTCTGTCTGTAGCCTGAACTTCCTCCTGAATCTTAGTGTCTAAATCTAGATGTCCACTCAACATTTCTACTTGAGTATCTAATAAGGATTTCAAACTAAACATTTATAAAATTGATGATTTTGGCCTTCAAAATCACTTTTTTATATAACATTTCATGGGCTCTAAAATATTTCCAGAATTCAATTTTCATCATCAAAGTTACTATAACACTGGCCCAAATCACTATCATGACCTAGACTAATGTAATAATTTTCTAACTGATACCACTTTTCACCAACTAATACATATTTATGTCTGCCTCCCTGTGTAATCTCTGGAAGACTGAGGACTTGTCTCTTTCACTTAGTGTGATAAGGCCTAGTTCAACCTTATAGATGTTCCATAAATACTTCTTAGAATTAGTACATGAATAGAATACACATAAACAACAATTAATTTAAAAAGATGCTTGGTTTCATGAAACTTGATGGTAAAGGTACTTTAATGAAGAAACACGTAGAATAAAGAAATGAGTAGAAAGTGGGGTTTGCAGGTTAAAGCAGTTTCCAAAAGCTGTTCCAGATTAATTCAGTAGTTTCCTGCCTAAACTATGACCCTGTGGGTATAAACACCTCACAGGGTCCTCGAGTAACCATCTAATCACTTCCACACTGCTTCACAAAGTGTGGCCCATGAGCCAAGACGCACAGCACACCTATCCTGCCCCTTGGTGACTATGTTCGAGGTTCCACTGTACAATGCAGGTGACTTAAAATCAAAAGTAGGTTAGAAACTGTTGACACCTGAATCCCTAAGTTGGGTATGGCTTGTAGAAAAGGGTGAATGGTACTAAGAGGCTGTTTCCCCCTGCCCTCTGGGCAGAACAGGAAGTCTAGTTGATGTCAATCGACCTGATCCAAAATAGGCTTCTTGAGTGCCTGTGTACAGGTGTGAAGATAAGGTGCTTTAGAGCATCCAAGAGAAAGAGTGACAAAGGAATATAATTGTTTATGGAAGAGATGGTTATAAGAGAGCCAAGAAAAAATTATCCACCCGGGTGAAAAAGCACGTCTGGCAAATGAGGCGGCGGTTCACATTAACCTAGTGGAACTTGGCGCACGACGCAGATAACCGGAAGTGGGGATTATCCCGCTCCAAGATGGTGGCGAAGACTGAGACGAGCAGGGGTGGGTGTGAGCGCCTGGAACGTCTCTGCCCTTACTCAAGATGGCGGCCCCGTAGGCGCTGTCCTGGCTCCGCCCCGTGCCGTGGTCCCGCCTCTCTTTCGTTCCTCCCTCCGCCCCCTCTAAGAAGCCTGTGGGGCCCGAGGTGCACGCGGGAGGAGAACGGGCTGCGGGTGCTTGACATGGCGGCAGCGGCGGCGACTGCGGCGACCAAGGGGAACGGGGGCGGCGGTGGCAGGGCGGGAGTGGGCGAGGCCAGCGGCACACGGAAGAAGAAGGGCCCGGGGCCTGTGGCCACGGCATACCTGGTCATCTACAATGTGGTGATGACGGCGGGGTGAGGCTGGGGCGCGGGCAGCGGGCTCTGCGGCCGGGCGCGCGCAGTGCAGCCGGGGCGCTCGGGTTCTGCGCCGGGAGCTGAGGGCGGCGAGCATCGCGTCTGGCTCGGGTCGGCCCTGCGGAGGTGCGGGCTCGGTGGAGCGCGAGCAAGCCGCAGCCGGCTTGGGAGGGCCTGGTGAGCGCGGGCGGTCTGGCCACAGGTGCGGATCGGGTGCGGAGGCCGGTCACGAACCGCGGAGTACTCGGGCGCGGGCAACCCGTGCAGCAGTGGCTGCCCGGACCATTCATTTCGCCGGCTGTTTTCAATATCCCGGCAGAGCTTTAACCTGAGAGGTAGTGGGAAAGCGTTCAAAGTTTTTGGCCAGCGACCCGAGTAGAGCTGTGCGGAAGGCAGATTTAGACTTTTTTTCTGGGTGGATTGGGCAAGTGAAGGTAGGGAGAGAATCGTCTCCAAAGCGGTTTTGTCTGTTTCAGTCTGTCCCTTGCCAGCAGGTTTTCACTTCTAGTTCTGACACTAATTTGCCCTGGGACTTTAAATAAATGTTTCTTTCTCTGTTGCATAAACTAGTTCTTTCGGTTGCACAAACTCATGTTGGACTAGGTGATTCCGGTTTTACAGTTCTTTAATCCCATAATTTTGGTGAGGTAAATTACAAAATCAGACTATTTGTTATAATTTTAGGTGGTAAAACAAATTTTCTTAAATTCTTTTTCTCTTTTTTTCTCTCCTTCCTTCTTTCCCCCTCCCTTTTTCTCTCCTTTCCTTCCTTCCAACAGCAATTTATCGTGTAGCCCTGGCTGTCCTGGAACTCTTGATTCTCCTGCCTCAGCCTTCTGACTGCTGGGATTATGAACCAGCACCACCACTCCTGACTCCTGTTATTTGTTTGTTTGTTTATATTTGTTTATTGCTCCAGGGGATGTATCCTAAGGCCTCACACATGTTAGCTCTCAACCACTGATCTTTATCCCCAGCATCCTGCCATTTTCTAAATTCAAAATTTCAAGCATGCAGAAAAATTTTGAAGAATTGTATATTGAATATCCAATTTTGATTATTTTTAAGAATGGGTAATGTATCATTAAGGTTCAAAATTTTAAATATACATAAGGACATGCATACTGTGAAACTTTCCCTCTGTCCTACAATTCCACCCACATCACCCTCAAGGCAGTTGATCTTGTGTATTCTTCAAATGATTTTATATAAGCACATGCTAATGTTATATGTTTATAGTTCAGCACATTGGCATTTTATGAAAAATATCTTAGGATCATAAGCTTATTGCTAGTATTAGAACTGGTGACTACCAAAATGTAGGCTCAAGAAGTTGCAACTTGCTTGAGATCATAGAAGTTAGTACAATCTCTAGATCTGAACTCAGGCCAGTGAAGAACTCTTACAGATACAGGTTTCCTTTCACATAAATGGCCACAGATTGATTTTTTTCAATGAACATTCAGGAATGTGTGGGTATTTACTGCTTCTGGTGGCCAGGTAGCCCATTAAGAAATTCATTTGTTCTTTTATAAACCCTTATATAATGGCCCTCTATGATAGTTTGCAGAAAGAGACCACATATCTCATTGTCTAGTTGAGATTGTACATTTAGATAAATCTGTGACTGCCTCCCATGAGTCATACCTTAGTGATAAAGTTTCATTTGTTTTATTATGAAATTTAGCAAAAATTAGAAGGCCTAATACTTATTTTTAAGAAGGAAAGTAGAACAGAAATGTAGTGTGCACAGCTGTTTTAGTGCTTTCTTGGTTTGTGTTTTTCTTATCAATAAGTCTGTTGATCTGTCTTTTCTCAGTTGGTTTTGGGAAATTCAACTAGAACCATTCTTTAAAAAAAACCTTTTGGAAATGGCTTAGTATGTACTGTTCTTGCAGAGAACCTGAGTTCCATTCCCAGCACCCACATTGATGGGTAACCTGTAACTCCAGGGGAACTGGCGCCTCTGGACAGGCACATACCCAAACATATATACATATACATAATTAAAAATAAATTTAAAAAAAAATACTTTTATTCATATGTAGTTTTGAAAAGAAATATTGTGACGTATGGACATGTCCCAGTGAAACACTTGTAAAAATAGTTTAAGGTATCTCTCCACTCTTAACATTATTAAAGACCCCCTTTGAACAGCACAGGTCAATTAAAACTTTCCTTGAACACAGTTTCTCAGATTTTCTGGCACCTCATTTAAATGCACAAAGATCATATTAGCTTATTCCCTTCATATTGGCCTTGTCCTTACCAGGCAAGTTTGCCAGAGAGCCAAGTTCCAGTTGGGTGAGGTTCATGCCAAGCTTTTTTTTTTTTTAATAGGTGGTGCAACATTTCTTTGTGCTACAATTAGACCTTTCTGAGCGGTAGTCAATGTGTTCATCATTTTTATATCATACATGAGATAATCAACTTGCAAAGAAGGAAGGTTTGCATTGGCTCACAGTTTGGGAGATTCTGTCCTTCAGCCGAATGACCTTATTGCTTTGGGGTTGGTGATAAGGCAACTTATCAAGGCAGGAACAAGTATCTAAGCAAAACTGTTCACCCCGTGACCATGGAGCAAAAGAAGGAAAGGAAATGGACCAGGGTCCCACAGTGCCCTTTCAGGACATGTCCTCAATGACTTGAGGGCATATAAAATCCAAACCATTTGGTAGATCTAGGATCATTTTTTAAAAACACGATCTGCTACTACCTTATCCTTTTATTATCTTAAGTCCAACTTACACGTTTTGTTTTCCTCTCCTGATTATTCTTCTCCTTTTCCTAGGTGGCTGGTTATAGCTGTTGGTCTGGTGAGAGCATACTTGGCTAAGGGGAGCTACCATAGCCTTTATTATTCCATTGAAAAGCCTTTGAAATTCTTCCAAACTGGAGCCTTACTGGAGGTACGTTGGGGATTTGTTGTTACTGATTTCAAATGTTATAAAATGGAAAACATGCTACTATTAAATATAATAAGTTATTGAATTTGTTTTATTAAATCTTGAAACTTTTTCTAAAAAGATAGGATAGTGATACTTCAACTATCTGACATTCTAAATAAGATAAAATCCCATTTAATTTGTTGTTATTTGGACTATAGTTTATATCCAACTTTTATTGCAAACCAAATAATACAAGCTTATACTAGACTTTTTTAAGATTTATTTTTATTTCATGTGTATGAGTGTTTTGCTTGCATGCATGTATGTACATTACAGATGTGCCTCTTGCCTGGAGAAGCCAGAGGAGGGTGTGCCAGATCCCTGGAACAGGAGTTACAGATGATTGTGAGCTGCTATGTGGGTGCTGGGAACTGAACCCAGAATTGGTCCTCTTTTTATGAACTTACTGTGTGAATTTGAGCAAGTCTTTTATCCCTTATCCACCTTTTTGATTTGTAAGAGTATTAGCTTAGAGTAGATTTCTATTTTTTTTTAAGTTGAATTTTTGAGAATTTCATACAGTATATTTTGAAGTTTCTTCCTGTCCTAACAGCTTAAGTCCAAGAAAATTAGCAAATTCTAGCACAATTTATTTTTTTAAGTTTAGAGGCTTACAGTTTTTCAAAAGGGGAAATAAATACATATATAAATAAATAAATAGCACTTTGTCTCTTTCAAAGCTTTGTCATACACAATTCTCTTAGCTATAGAAAAGTGCATTTGTGGTCAAGACCATGAGGAGCTGCCTCAACACTTGATATACTAGGAAATTAAACCCAGGTGGAATACTTCAATCATTTAAAGAGAATTCTCTTTAAGATTCTGTAATATTAGAAATACAATTTAAAATTTTAAGCATGCCTTAGGGAAGGTGAGGAAACCAAATAGTGAAACACAAAATCCCCTCCAGAACCAGGTCTTGGACTTTGAAGGATGATTAACTGTTCATCCCTGTTGAATTTTTAAGAGGGATTTAAAAAAATATATTAGATTTTTTGTTTGTTTTATCTTTGTTACTCCCACTAAGTGAGAAATCCTAGATTTGGTTTTAGGAAAAGGACTGTATAAAGAAGTGATGATGCTCAGAAACCTGTGAAAGATGAACATTGCAGCGTTCAGTGATGGGGGGAGCCCTCAGACTGACCTGTAAATAGAGCTTGCTCAAACATACTTCCTATGCAGTGATTGAGACATGTTTCATCACTGTAAAATCATTAGCTGTGTGCCATGTTGGTTAATTACACATAAGTTATCTTTGTGGGAATTATTAATGCATGATAGTATATGCCTGTTACAGGATGAGAAGATGAGTCCAGGAAGGTTAGCGACTCATTTACATAAATGTCTACATGCAAATATTCTTTAGTAGGGCTTTTGGGAAATAGAAGTCACTTGCTCTCAAGAATCTTTAATCTTCTTAGGACTGTATAAAAGACTTAAAAACATTTACCAAGCAAGTACAAATGTGGATGTAGTAAGATACGAAAAAGATCAAAACAAAAAAGCTTACTTTTCTGGAGAAATTAAATGATTCCTTTTTTCAAAATGGATGCAAAAGTGTACCTAGTTGGTGATATAATGATATTGGTCATTTTTGGTGATTTTTCTTTTTTGGGAGGGTGCTAAGGGTGTTGAAACCCGGGCCTCGAACATACTAGGTAAGCTCTCTAACACTGATAAAGGATTTTAATAAGATGGACACAAATCTTAATTCATTCTTCCTACTTATCCAGGAATGTATTGAGTATTTTTTATAAAGAAATTTCCAAATTATTCTTCAGGTAGTAATTTAAGTGTTTGAATAATGAATACTGTGAGTTGAGCTTTGACTAAAAAGGAACTTAAGAGCTAGGGAGGTGGCTCTGTGATAGTGCACCAGCTAGTATACACAGGGCCCTGGGTTCGCTCTGCATCACCACATAGGCCCCTCCACTGAGGTCCCAGGTTGTGCATGGCAGAGGCTTTGTCTCATGCTGGGGAGAGGGAAGGCCTCCATTATTTGCAGACTCCAATCTTGGGAGGACTGATAGTCTGGAATGGACCTCCTATCTCCCTTGAGGCCCAGCTGTCGTCCTCACTGTACTATGGTCCTCACTGTGGTCCTGGGTATCCAGGCATTGATGGTTGGACCTCTCCCATTACCAGGCACTGAGAAGTTTGCCGTTTTTCTGTTGGTCTTCTACAGCCCCATTATGCCTTCACCTATGCCCTAATTGAACTTCTAGAGATAAAAATCACAATCTGGAAAGTTTAAAAAAAAAAGGAATAGAAAGTACTGTAATAACTGATAATTCTCAAGCTAAAAATATGTAATTACATCTTAGAATATAAATTTGAAATTCTCTGCTGTAATTTTTAAATATTGTTTACTGACAAAACTGTACTACCAATACATGCTGTCACTGTTCCCATGTGAATTTTCCACTCACTCCCTTTCCAAATTCTCCAACCTGTACAGAGTATTGCCTGCATGTGTGTAAATGCACCCATGTCGTACAGTACACAAAGAGGTCAGAAGAGGGCATTTGATCCTCTGGAACTGGAGTTAAGACAGTTGTTAGCTGCCATATGGGTGCTGGGAATCAAACCCAGGTCCTCTGCAAAAGCAGCCAGTGCCCTTAACCACTGAGCATCTCTCCAGCCCCTCATGTTACTTCTTAAAGAAAGCAATGCTAATAAAATATTTTTTACTTAAAAAAATTAGCCTAGGAATGTAGATTTATTGGTAGAGCCCTTACCTAGTATATGTAAGCCCTTGATCCAATTCCTTTTAACCCCCCATGTGTCCCTTCAAAAAAGAAAACCACTATGTTGATGGTAGTTTTGGGTGTTTTTGTTTGTTTGCAATTTTTGTTTAGTTTGTGGTACTGGGGATTGAATATAGGGCCTCATGCATGCTAGGCAAGTGCTGTACTACTGAATTATATCCCTAGCCCCTCCTTTTAAAAAACCTTTTATTGGGCTGGCGAGATGGCTCAGTACTACCAATACGTGCTGTCACTGTTCCTATGTGAGTTTTCCACTCACTCCCTTTCCAAATTCTCCAACCTGTACAGAGACTTTCAATGTAATCATGTTACTTTTTAAAAAATATTTTTATATATTAAAAAATTTTAATATTTCAGTAGGTGAAAGCATTTGCTGCATAAGCCTGGCAACTTAAGTTCAATCCCCAGAACCAAATAAATTGGAAGGAGAGAACCAACCCCACAAAGTTGTCCTCTAACCTCCACACAGTACTGTGGCATGCATATCTCTCTTGCTTGCTCTTTCTCACTCTTGTACACATACACACACATACCCCACTAACACCACTAATCAAAAGCTTAAAATGAAAAAGCACTTTATGTCTTGTTTTCTTTACTTTTCTTTTTGATGGTGCTGGGGATTGAACCCAGAGCCTCACACATACTAGGCAAGCTCTCTGCCACTGTGCTGCTTCCCAGCCCAACAACATAATCTTGTAATAGGCTCAGGCTGCCCCTTAACTCCCTCTATAGCCCTTACCTCCTGGACTTGAACTCTCAACCTCATGAGTAGCTAGGATTATAGACTTGTACCAATAGGCCCAGGCATTATGGCAGTTTAAAATGATTTCTAAATAAATTTGGATTTCTAAATGCTTTTCCCTAAGAGCACATGGTTGGCTCTGTCCCTAAAAGGACTGAAAGTGAAGATTCAAACAAGCTGGTACCATCTTCCAGTGGGGATTGCTGTGTTCTATACATCATTTATCTACCTCTGTCCTTCTGGTCCTGGTAGACCACAGGAACCCCTTGACCTCCCATTCCTCTTTAGATCTTTCTACTGCATAGAATTCCTTTATCTTTAATAAGGAAAAAACAAACAGGCTCATTTTTCTGCCTTCTAGAGCTGATCTATTGCTAGGTCTAAAATGGCAGAATTGTTTCTAAAGGACAGTGAGGGACAGCAAACAATTTCTGTCCTGTTTTTAAACCCATTAGTACTTTCTTAGCCCCACTTCTGTATTCTAGTCAGAGTCTTCATGCTTACCTCGTCTACTCTTTTCAAATCCTTACTGAAATAGGAAATTGATTTGAATGTTTTTTAAAACAGAGGGCAACCATTAACTACTTGTGTCCTTAGGAAGGCAGCTCCCAGCTTGTCTCCCTGAGTTTTTCTGGCCCTGTGGCAAACCCTGTATGTGTTTCCCCCTGGAGATGTTACGTGGTTAGCTTCCATGGTGTTATTAATAGAGCTTTATGCTTTTGGCACATTACAGGTCAGGTTGGCTTCTGTGAACTAGTCTGAAAATAATTCACAACAGGCTTATTTTTCCTCTTATGGGAACCTGTTGATTTCCCATAACAGTTATGTTTTATGAAGGAACTCCTGAAACACATTAGACATGCCATTGTTAGACTACCTTTTTATTCTAAAGATTCCTTTTGAGAAAACAGATCTCTGAAAGAAACCAGAAAAGCCAGCAGAGCAAGTCTTGAAGAGATAGCTAACAAACTTGTTAAACAACAAATCCCAGAAAAACAAACTTCAAAAACAATGTGAAAACCAGAGAGGGGACGTGAACTTGTAAGTGTCACAACATTTGAAGAGGAGGGAGCCTGTAGGAAATAGGAATCCACCCACACAGGTGTCATTGCTTGACAACTCAAGCAAATAGAAGTCAGATAATACAGTGTTCACAGAGGTGAGAAAGCTAATGACTTTAGAACAGAATGTGCTAATTTTAATTTTTTTTTTAAGAACTTAAACTATTGATGGTGACTGTAGGAAAAGAGGCCTTAGTGACAGAAATAGATAAACCTAAAGATTGAGTAAAGGCAGGTGTTCCCAGTCATAGATAGTCTCAGATAAAGATTACAGAGCAGCAGACATTGAGAAATACTCAGAGTTCACCATTTGAAGTATAAGAAACACAGTATAACATTTGGAATGCCTGGCACAACAGATTCAGTGTGTTGGTGGACGAGCTGGTGATG